AATTGGTCAATCAACGAATGGCATGGGTTAAAATTTTGTGTTCCCTCCTGTTAATTTTTGTGTTCCCAGAACGGTCCCACCTGTTTAAAGTATCACGTTAACTCATTTGTATCATATGAAAAATATATGAATTGATCGACAAGGAGGCGTAAATTTCTATACGTAAATTTGGAAAGAACCCTGACTGTATTGAAAAAACATATGCGTAGCATTTATTTTTGAAGTGCATTTTGCTATATATTGATCGATTATTAATTACCACCCAATGCAAAGATAAAGGAAGCTATTTATTATGACTTTTGTGTATACATACATACATTTTATAAAGGATTCATATCCAACTATGTTGGATGTTTGACCATGTTGCAATTTAAAAATAATATTTTTATTTTTTATTCATTATTTTTTATTAATATTAATAAAGAAAACCAAATTCCCAAGATTATAACAAGTTTATACTGTTTAAAGTTGTATATACATATTGCAAGTGTGCAATCTGAGTTTCCTATTTAATAGGTGGTTTATAGCTCAACACACAGCCTCCTCATCGACTTACAGTTGATTCTATTGTTTGACACACAGCCTACTCGCTGACTTATGGTCAAAGGTTAATAAAAATAAAACTTTTATCCTTCAGGATAAAAGGGTCCCTAGGTTCTATGTATATTTATATCCCAAAGGCGTCCCCTTGAGATGTTTCTCAATAATTAGAATGTTGGTTACTTGCTAGGTGCAGCAAAGGTTTTCCCTTTGTGGTTTATTAATTATTTAGAGATTATTATTTTTAGAGGTAAAATATGTTATGTGTTTTATTAGCAATAATAATATTATTATTACAATGTGTTAGGAAGTATTAATTATTAGATCAATAATTAAAAGATTGTTATGAACATGATGATTCTGACTTGGTCTAAAACCAAGTCCTTTTATACCTCTTGGGGTATTACAAATAACATGACTTTTACTCTAGTTTGTCCAATAAACTATGCTTATTAATATAAAATAAATATTTGGGTCAACTGATCATTACAAATAATAATTAATAATTTAAAGTAAATATTTACATCAGCTGAACAAGTTCTTGAAATATAAATATAGAAATATGAATATGAGTAATTGTGCGTGTGATACTGCGCAATGTGTGGCACAGTATTCCACAAAATATAACGTTAAAAATAAAAATAGAAATGGTTTGATTTTCACGTGACTTCCGCAGTAGTTTGGTTTGGTTGGATCGGCAACGTGGGACCTCTCTATCGGTCCTCATTTTACTATCTCACACCACCATAATATTATGTCCATAAATTTTAATATGCAAAGTTGTAATATTTGCATAATATTAGGGCCTGCTGTAAACTTATGTAAATAGTGTAATAATTATGTAAATCCGCATCAGAAAAAATTTCCTGATGCAAAAGATTAATTGATGATCTGCGAACAGTGTGGAAATTTCGTTGTGTAACCAGTACAAATTTAGAAACTATCTCCAAAAATTAAAAATTTGGTTGGTGTGTAATGTTACACCCCGCATTCCCTGCACCAAATTTTCAACACTGTCTGCGAATAAATGAGAGAATCATTGATCAATTTACTATTAAAAAATGAGAGAAATTTAATATTAATTTTGAAAAAAAAAATCTACAGGTGCTCATTACACCAAAATTTTTAGAATAAAGAAAAACCATTGCAAGTTTCAAATATTTAAATTTTGACACAAGTTTTAAATCTTTATACATGTTTTGAACTTTGAAACAAATTTTAACTTTGATATAAGTCTTGAATTTTTATACAAATTTTGAACTTATGCAAGTTTTGAATTTTGACACTTTGACACAAGTTTATATTTTAAAAAAAAAACTTTTAAATGATATTATTAATAAATTGTCATCCTAACTCAACTAATAATCCCAGATTATAATAAAAAAGTGCCAGTTGGTACCATTAAAGGAATTTCTAATTATTTTACTTTCATGTGACAAAGATGGATATATAGCAGTGTATGAAATACCTAATTTTGGGAAATCAAAAAATATTCAATTTTTGATATTGTGAGATAGTAAATCTTGGACCTATCAATTACCCGGTTAATATTGACCAATTAGAACGAATTTACTACGGAAGTCA